TCTTCAAAAGACTGTGGACATGGCGATGATGTTGGTAACTCGTGTTGCACCTGAGTAGATGGGTGTACGTCTTTCTTCGTGTGGCTCTTTGAGTGGCCTATGAGTACTAGATGCATCTGGAATCTACGATATTTTTAGAACATATTATGGTATACATTTTAGAAATTGATAAGTTATTGAAACAATAATATCAACTATTCACTATACTCCACCAGTTCAACCCTNCGATGATGTTGGTAACTCGTGTTGCACCTGAGTAGATGGGTGTACGTCTTTCTTCGTGTGGCTCTTTGAGTGGCCTATGAGTACTAGATGCATCTGGAATCTACGATATTTTTAGAACATATTAAGGTATACATTTTAGAAATTGATAAGTTATTGAAATAATAATATCAACTATTCACTATACTCCACCAGTTCAACCCCAGAGCATCCACCCTCCTTTTGGCAAGAACGTATCAAATCAAGTTGTTGATACATATCATTAATCTCGTCTCAAAACTCTTCTCTTAACTCCTCTCATAGGTCTTGACGCATCCTCTTTCTTTCCAAGTCTGCAAAGACTTGAGATGAAATGGAGGCTCGGTCGTATACATCACTCCACACGACTCCTGAACCATAAGTACGCACATAGTCATGACCATCCTCTCCAACTACGTCATGGAATACCTTGTCCCGAATATCTGGAGTCTGCTCCATCTCTGGCACCTCAGAGAGTCACTGTGTGAATTCCTCCTACCATGTTTCAACATGAGCATATTCAGTTAAGTTATAATAGAATCATACTAGAAATTTGTACATACCATATAACCTACCGTCTCCTTGTCACATGGAACGCCATTCTTTGTATGTGTTTTGATGAACACACTAATTTTTTCTGTATTCTCTCCATTATTTTTCATCTAAATTCTCATTTAAAAATACATATTTTAATTGTAAGTTGAAATAGAAAAACAACAACATGCCAATAATTATTATTTTTCATAACACCTTACATCCATCCGAACATTAGCAAAGGCCCTGTCCTTTGTGTTGGGCTNAAGTTGAAATAGAAAAACAACAACATGCCAATAATTATTATTTTTCATAACAACTTACATCCATCCGAACATTAGCAAAGGCCCTGTCCTTTGTGTTGGGCCTCGCAATGCACGATTCTTAGAATTTTGCTTTGATATTGCCTATAACATTAATAATATAAAAATAAATTTTACTATTTCAATATATGTCAAAAAATCTAGGTGGAAAAATTTTCTCTACATGACAAATGATACCATAATCCAATCTTGAATATATTTTAAGTCAATTGTAATATTCACCTTTGAACACAATTGTCTAAAGAAATTAATCAATTCAATCAATGGTTCAACCACATTCTTAGGCATGGATTTTCGGATTGCTAGAGGCAGTAGTTGTTGCATCAAAATATGACTATCATGACTCTTAAGGCCCCAAATACCATGCTCTTTCATGTGCACGCATCGCGAAATATTAGACGCATATCCATCAGGCACCTTGACTCTTTTTAGCACTTTACAAAATATCTGTTTTTGTCATCCTTACTCAAAGTAAATTTTGCAGGACTCTTTACCAGATCCTCTAGTTTGGGGATGCAATGGTCTTCTAATGTTCATTTCTTGTAAGTCACGCCGAACGTTTCAGATTGTNCCAGATCCTCTAGTTTGGGGATGCAATGGTCTTCTAATGTTCATTTCTTGTAAGTCATGCTGAGCGTTCAGATTGTCCCTTGGTTTTTCCAATAACACTCAATAATGTCCACAATATATTATCACAAAACTTCGTCTCTATATGCATTACGTCAAGATTGTGTCTAATTAGATTATGCTCCTAGTACGGCAATTCAAAGAAAATACTCTTTTTCTTCCAATTATGTTTTTTAGGCCCATTGTTTACCCTCTCTACTTCTCTCATCTTCCTTTCCTTAAGGTCATCATACATATATTCTGTTAAGATATCTTCCGATTGTATCTATAACAATATCTGAGTTCCAGATAACGTAGTAGGCTTGTGACTATGTTCCCGTCTCCCATCAAAAGACACTTTATCCTTTTGAAATTTATGTTGACTAGATAAAAATTGGCAATGATCCATGTAACAAAATTTTCTACCATGAGTCAACCAATTAGATCGAGTAATTCACCTTTTGTACTCCACCCTGACAAGTTAGCATATGTAGGAAAATCATTAATTGTCCATAATAAGGCCGTGTGTAGCTGAAACATGTTACCGTTTGTGGCACCAAATGTTTGCACACCATCCTTCCAAAAACTCTTTTAATTCCTCAATCAGTGGTTGCAAGTAGACATCAATCTTATTGCCAGGCTCTTTTGATCCATCAATAAGCACAGAAAGAATAAAAAATGGTTGTCTCATGCACATACATGGTGGTAAGTTATATGACATCAATACGATAGACCAAGTGCTATGAACTATATTCATCGACTTGAAAGGATTGAATCCACCGGATGTCAGCCCAAGCCTAACATTGTGACCATCACTAGCAAAAATTGGGTATCGTTTTTCAAAAGTCTTCCATGCAAGAGAGTCGGTCGGATGCCTAAATACACCGTCATCAGTCCGTCCTTCTAAATGCCATCTCATATGCGAAACAGTTTTTGATGACATGAAGAGCCTCTGTAGCCTTGGCTTCAAAGGAAAATACCTCACTTGTTTTGCAGCTATTGGTTTACTACCATTGAAAGCATCATTTGTATCACCTTCATGTTGTTTCCATCAAGTAGTATTGCATATCGAACATTTATCCATCTTTTCCTCCTCATTTATGAACAATGTGCAACTATTTGGACATGCATCCCACATTTTATACGTGAACCTNTTGGTTTACTACCATTGAAAGCATCATTTGTATCACCTTCATGTTGTTTCCATCAAGAAGTATTGCATATCGAAAATTTATCCATCTTTTCCTCCTCATTTATGAACAACATGCAACTATTTGGACATGCATCCCACATTTTATACGTGAACCTTAAGTCATTGATTACCTTTTTGGCTTCGTAGTATGAACTTGCCAATTTCACCCCAATGGAAAAAGCCTCATTCAGTAACACAAGAAACATCGTAATAGACTTATCCATCCATCCAAAAAGCGCCTTTATATGCAATAATCGCACAAGAAATGACAATGACATGAATTTCTCACACCCTCGATATAATTCTCTTTCTGCATCTTGTAGAAGTTTGAACAACTTCGTGGTGGGTTCCTTCGTGCCGCGTTGGGGATCATTTGTAGGTAGTTCAAGAGTTTCTACACTGACATCTACATTTTGAACTCCAATAGCCTCGTCTATCATTCCAATCATATCATCCCCAATATTTGACTCATCTAAAGTTTCATTTTCCTGGTTACCATGCCTCGAAACATAGGTTTCCTCATGTTTAGTCCAATTCTTGTACTTCCTTGAAAAACCATTTATAATAAGATGTTCTCGCACAACCCCTCGTTTAACAAAATAACAATTTAAACATAACCTGCATGGACAATAAATCATTGCATCTTCTGCTTGATCGGTGTATGCAAACTTGAGAAATTCCTCAACCCCCTACAATATGCATTTGAAAGCCTTTCTGTTGAATCAATCCAACTCTTATCCATATTTCTATTATCCTTAGATGTTTCATACATCCATATGAAGGTAACTTAGTTATCACAAAAACTAAATTTAATGAGCTCCCAATAACTAACATATTCATGTTAGGAGTGAAGTAGGATTAAATATTGTAAGATGCACATGTGATTAAAAAATGGTTGAATTTATCAATAACTTACAACAAACCCAATTTAATTGAAATTGATGGCATTCATGCAAGAAAGTGAGAGAGAAAGTGAATACACTCATACCCAATCCAAATCTTATAACCTCTAGTTCACCTCCAACCTGTCAAAAGAGCCATAAAGACCTCATTACATGCCACTCTTATGGCTTAGTTTGAAAATAACACACATGAACTGAAGCAGTCCATTAAATAGTCCAAAAAAAATAGTTCAAAAAACCTTCCAGAACAGTCCCAAAAAAAAAACAACCTAGAACAATCCAGCTGAAATAGTCCAAAAAACAGTTCAGAACAATCTAGCAAAAACAATCCAAAAAACCACCAGGAACTAAAATAGTCTATTAAATAGTCCAAAAAAATAGTCCAGCTAAAACAATGACGTGAATAGTAACATTAGAGACATTCCTCTAGATTTCAAAGTGAGGATCTATGGGATTCCCTTGGTAAGCAAGTGTGAGTTATGCTATGAGGAGGGGGAGGCTGCATAAATGCTATTTGTGAATTGTAAGTATGTGCTATGTTATGCTGTTGTGTTGCAGATTGTAAGTTTGGGTATATGCTGTTGTGTAATGCTTCTGATTAGCTGTTCTGCTGTGTTGAATGTACTGCTGGGAGAATTTTGGTGGAGTAATGTTGCTGACTTGGGGTGATTTTGAAAGATTAAAGTGTAAATGACTTGTTATTGGTTATTCTTTGTTACAGATTTTCTGTTACTTGAAAACTGAAATTCTAAATTCTGTTTTTCTTGCAACAGAATTTCTGCTAGGTAACAGAATTTCTGCTTTTTGGCTTGTAAGCAATTTTTTCTGTTTTGTTGATTCTTGTAAATTTTGAGATTTATTCAATAAAATTGCATTGTTGGATTAAAAAAAAACAAGGGCAATGAAATATTTACACCAATAGACTATTAGATGTTAGTGTAGCATATATTTCTTTAGCGTTTTTAATATGAAAAGTACTTCTTCATAAAAATGATCCGTGTCAACAATATTAAATAGCAGTCTGTGAATGATCCAGCTATTTAGTTGCTAGCTGAATAGTTGTTTATGCATAAGGGGCTAGTTGAGGTCCAATGATCCAGTGAGCAGTCTGTAGGCAGATTGGGGTCTGTGTTTGAGGGCATGGGCTGCTTTTCTGCATTTTGATAGCTGGGTAGCTGGACTGTGGAAGATAGTTATATGGCTTTAGTTCCTTTGAAGGATTAAAGCCAATTCCTTGTAAAGCAGAGATGCTGGAATAATGCTCATGTGATTGTTATGTTGCATTCTGTGCTTAGTAGTGTGTTGCTGGTTTGGGAGTGCTGTCAGAATGGGCTGTTGCTTGGCTGTGTTGATCTCATATTGTTGTAGCAAGGAGTGAAGTTGAGAAGGCCTTAGCAGCAGTTGTTGACTATTTTTGTAACTGATTGTTGGTTTTAGGATAACAAAATTTCTGTTATGAAACAAAAAATCTGTTTTGTAATAGTTTTTCTATTTTTTCTGGTTTTTGTTAAACAATCACTGTTTTTACTTAAAATAGTTTCTGTTTTTTGATTCTTGTAATTTTGAGAATTATTCAATAAAATTTCTCTTTCTTTAAAAAAAAATATTAAACAGATACATGTTTACCGGCCATGCAAGTTTAAGTTCTCTAGTCAACATTGTGCCTAATGCAACAACAACAAAACATCTAGTCAAAACCAGTTACAGACTATATGATAACTTTACATTGTAATTGGCTTTGTTGTGGTTTAACATGCAAACTGAAATAACTGAGCAAATTCGTCAAGAATCGTAACCTAACTTGCAAAAAAAGATAAAAATTTATAGCCATTTGGGGAATAAAAACACAATTCACAAGGTCATGCATCTATCAGGGATGTGTAGTTTTACAAACCTCTTACAAAACTCTTGGCATCTAATACGGATATGAGGTTTTCGACATGGCTCTTTCAAAATATCTCGACAGAATACAATGTACAACATATATATACCCATGACATTTATGAAGCAGTGGAATATGCAGTGGTACTACCAACAATGTTCTATTTTTTATTCTTTTTGATAGGAAACAGATGTATTGACAACAATGTGCTTTCTAAATCTGTAGAATATCTATGTAGGCATAAAAGCAATCCGTCAACAAGGTAGAGCCCATCACCTATGCCTTTCTTTTTCCTTTTTTACCTTTTTCTCGTCTAACTTTCTTCTAGCTTTCACCAATTAAAGGTGAATATATGACAACACAAGCGATTGGGATGTGGGTGAAACACTGGGTAAGATCTTATGCATTCGGTGGTAGCGTTTACAAAACAACCTAAAGTCCAACCCCCAATAATCTTATGAATATTTGTGGAGCTCTTTTTATTATTGCATAAGACAAAGCAGTTTGATTGCCTATGACTTTACTATCTGTCAAAATACAATCAAATACTTCACACCACACACAGAGTCTACTTCAGAAGAAAGCTCGATGTCAGAAGGCAGGCTATCCTCTAAAATGAGATCTACCTAATGGCTACGGAGCAGTTTGTTTGAAAAAATAATGGCCAATGAGCAAATTAGGATAACAGTTCCAATGATGCTGAAGATTACTTTCTNCGGAGCAGTTTGTTTGAAAAAATAATGGCCAATGAGCAAATTAGGATAACAGTTCCAATGATGCTGAAGATTAGTTTCTTTTTATACATCAAAATGAATAGCTCCAAATTTGTAAAATTGCTGTGGATGAACAAACTTCTGCATGATGATCGAAAACATCTAATAACTTTAGGAAGAAACATCAAATACTCCTTTTTTCACTCTATGCACATATCCAATATCATTACATAGTTGAAGCGATATCCCACAAATGAAAAGCAAGTTGGACAAAATTACCATGAACCACCTCAATAAAGCCAATTAAAAAGTTTCCAACAGCATAATACAAATACTAAATCAACCTGACAATACCAATCTCCACCAANAAAAGTTTCCAACAGCATAATACAAATACTAAATCAACCTGACAATACCAATCTCCACCAAGGTCTAAATCAAACTGTCCTCAATATGTAAAATTCATATTTAAATCAACAAATAAGAGACACGGCAATTTGGAATAGATCCAAATACTGAAACAGGAGTGCAACCAGCTACAATTTAAAAAACCTCCTTAAGTTGGGACAAATATATACTCAAAAATATATCCAACAAAAGTCCTTATAAAAGTTGGACCATACATAATCTCATGACTGATATGAAAGAGCAAATACTTGCATACTATCAAATCACATAACCACCACTCAGGTAAGATCAAGTAATGTCAACCCAATCAAAAATGGGTACAAACCCAGATAGAAAAATCAATAAAAAGGATGGGAGAGATAGAACAAAAATTAAGTATGAGAACAATTATATAACCCAGATAGAACAATCAATAAAAAGGAAGAAGAAAACATACCCGGAAGACGAGGGACGATTGAAATTTGCTACAATACAAAAAGTAATTGCCCGCAATGGAAGATTGATGTTGTGACTCTAGTAAACAGTTGTGGCAGTAGCAATTTGGAGACCTAGGGTATACTCAATTTTTAACAAAGAGAGAGGGAGAGAAGAGAGTCGACAAGCTAAAGAAAGAATTGATCATGAGTGTGGGAGACGTGTGAATACAAGGGGGAGAGAG